ATACCAAATCAAAGCAGAAACAAGATCTAACCAAACACACAATGGTTATTATTGAGAAAAACTAAAGCACAAAAAACTCAATTGGTTCACACTTGATATCACAGCTTGATAACTTAGCATGTATATATATAGAATACAAGACATAACAACCTTGCATCTATTTAGGATCCTAGCATCAATCCTTATCACTATCTAATTTGTCAACTCACAAAACTAGATAACTCCTATTATACCTCATCGTATATAGGATAATTCAGAAATTTCCAACATTGTATATTTTTTTGGAACATAAAATGCATCCAATGAAGACTATAATAATTACATAAACTAGCAACAATTGCGTTATTTTTTAGATTTATAAGAAATATCAAATTGTCTATCTAATCTTATGTAACCCAATATATCCATCTCATCAGACATCAACTCATTTTCTGCAATTTTTTTCCTGGAAACACACATTTGATTGATTTCATTGCTGACCTAGATATATAGTCATAAATGAGCCGATGAGATGGATATCAAATTTTATAGTAAATGTATCATTATATAACCCATCGTATCCATCTTATCAGCTAATTTAACGATTAGGTGTCCAAGTCAGCAATGAAATCGATAAAATACATGTTACGTGAAGAAAATGGTCAAATCATCACTAAATTTTATTTTGGGACTTATTCGCAAATTAGGTTAAAATAATGGGAGTTTAATGAAACAGGTAAGTAATAAAACTGGTAAACCGGAAAAAAGGGGATCAAATCGCCATTTTTACCGGTAATTCATGTTTTTTCGTAAACAAATTTTAATTTGAAACTTTTTCGTAAATTAGGGTAAAATTTTAGGACTTTTCTGGAGATTTCCCGCAGAAAAATACCCTATTGATCCACCACTTCTAGAAATTGTCGTTGGTGCAAGGATTTGGGAACTTCCCAAGTAAGTTTTTGGCCCTTAAATGATTGCACATGAAAACAACTTTTCTATACTTAAAAGTAAAAAATAAATAAATAAGTAAATAAAAAAATAAATTTAAAAAAAAACGCTATTTTGATGGTTTCTTAACCATCATGAATGGCCGAAAAAAACACCTTACCTCATAGCAAGGCGGTGAGTACCCTTATATAGTCTTTCATATCATATTCATCTCTTCAACTAAGAGAGAGAGAGAGAGAGAGAGAGAGAGAGAGAGACTTGACCCAAATTTAGGTTTTCTGGTAATTCCAGGCTCAAAACAAGGAGATTAGCACCACCCACATCCATATTAGCATCCCTTTGGAGCCATCCTATCACCATAAGTCCTCTCTAATAAATGAATGTTTTTTTTTGTTACTTGTCATACTCTTATTCATTTTCCCAAATGTTAATTTGTTATTATTTTAATTTTTTTTCCACATGTCATTTTATGAGTTTTTCTATTTTATTAAATTCCATATAATATTTTAATGTAATAATTGCAATAATCATCTCTAATAAATGAAAGTTTTTTTGCCACTTGTCACACTCTCATTCAATTTGCCAAATGTCATATTGTGGTTATTTTAATTTTTTTTTCCACATGTCATTTTATGAGTTTTTCTATTTTATTAAATTTCACATAATATTTTTAATGTAATAATTGCAATAAATGTAGTAATAAATGGAAATTAATTTCATTAATAAACTTATCTTTTAATTTCAAAATTCCCAAAATTAAAGCTCATTTTATTTAAATTATTATTTGTTTAAATTTAAAAGATAAAAAACATTTTCATTATAATAATTCATTATTTTTCTTATTTTCTTATTAATTCAAAGTTCTCAAATATTTTGCCCTTTATATTAATTTTTTTTTAAATTAACACATGTAATACATGAGTCTCACAACTTAGTCCTAATAAAAGAATAGTTTTTTGGACGCATGGCAACTTTCTACAGCTTCTATATGACACGTGGCAAGTTTCTACAACTCCTGTAATTCTTTTTCCTACTCAAATATCCCAGTCAATAAATAATTCTTGATCTCATAATATCCCTAAATATTAGCCACTAAATTTGATTACATCAAGATTAAGCAAGAAATCAGGGATTCTAATCATATCCATATTTAAAATCGATTGGTGTTCTTATTCTTCTTGTATACTACTTGTGTCATGGATATTCATATTTCTGTGTTTGTTTGGATATGTTGCTCTTTTCCCTTCTTCGACATCTTTTTTTTCAAGGTTCCTTTAATTCTTCTATATTTCTATTTTTATTTGATGATTAATCATTTTTTAGAAACGACACTTCAATGAACACAATTTTTGATAATCCTCCATCATGTTTATTCTTTTCTGAAAGCCTTCATTGATCTTCATCTTTACCTTTTGAAATTAGGGTGTCCTTAATGTTGGTGGTGCCTGTGAGTAGTGGTGTTGGTTTAGCCAGCAAGGAAGGTCATGTTGATGAACATTGTGGATGATGAAGGTATTAAAGATTGGTCCATTAACTTTCTCTTCATTTTACTTATTTACCGTAGATGATGATAGATAATGAAGAACCTTGGTGGCTCTGCTACATCTAATGGAAACTAAACAGAAAGGTAATCACTGGAAAAGTCATAAAGACTTTCTACACATGCATCGATTTCCCATTGAACTAATAGGTGTTGATGGTTGGTCCATTAAAGTAGTTGTTGTTACATGTTATCTCTTTAGAACTAAAATTGATAAACCTTGATACGATGCTTTCGCCTTTTATCTCATTATCTTCTTCTTTTTGAATAAGCAATTAATTGACAAAAGAAAGGTAAAAGATTTGGGGTTGAATCCAAATGAAGAAGCAACGTTGCATTTTAAAAATCCTTTGGTTTACTTTACATGTAATTTCTTTTAAATTTTCATTTTTTGTTCAGGTTGAATAGTTGTACGGATGTGTTTTTGTAGGTAAGACTTAAAGTTTGTTTATATGTCTGATGATGATGGTTTACGAAGGATAAAACGGATATAGTGGAGGTTGAGGTTATATTTGGACAGCACGACAAATCAAAATGATTAAGATAAATAGAGATCTCTACTTCTCTGTTCTCTACAATATCTTGGTTTCATTTTTCAATTTATTTCAATTGTTTTACTGTGATAATGATTTATTTAAAATTTGACTCATTTTTTAGAAATTTATGGATGTAATTAGGATATGATCTTTGTTGGCTTTGTGTCAATATGTTTATGTCACCACTGCTACACTACCACCTCCACCTCTCTCCAAAACCTCAATTTGATCTTCAGTACACCTTCTAATAGGTGAATGAAAACGGTAAAAATGACCTAAAGCAAACTCATATATGGCTTTATAATATTGAGGACGAATCCAAAAAGGGAATTATGTTAATATGTATTTTATACTATAAGTTATTTTGAATAAATGTTTTACGAAGTTCAAATTTAGTGAAGTAACATGATGTTGTGTTTTTTTAGGCAAGAACTAAATTAACCTTATAGGGGAATTGAATCAACTGATTTCTAGCGATTTCGTTTCATTGTATTTTTAAACAAAAACCCGATTCTAGAATTGCACTTCCAAATTTTATTCTTATTAGGACCTAATACATTCAAAAGTTACCAAATTTTCTTCCAATTATTGCTTATATATCAATTTAACAACAGGTTCTCTCTTTTTTTCTCCATTAACTGTTATCTAAATCCTGGAGTTGGTTAGAAGAGAATTAAGTTGTATATCTTGGAAAGCACATTGAGCAAGGTAGGTTCTCTTATCTTGAAAGAGTTATTGATCTTCAATGATTTGTAGTTATCTCATTAGGAAGCCTGTTGATTGTTTGTGTTGGAATATTTTATGATATTTTTTTGTTTTCTGATTATTTGTTTGGTTATTTTGTTTATATTATTCAACAACTTAGATGGCTAATGTAAACAGTGGAGATTGGCAAGAGGAATTCTATCAAAAAGATGGTTCATATGAAAGTAGATTTGTGTAAGTTTAGACATATGTTAGGTTCAACATTTTGTAGATTTGCTTAAATTTGTGTTGCTATTGCTTGCTAAGTTTTGTAGTCACATCTTTACATGAAAATGATGATCAAGCAAAGTTTGTAAAAATGAGTGAGCTGATGGTGGCCGTGTTATAGAAATCAGGAATTATCATAGTTAAGATGAATGTGTGATATCGAAGTAATTTAGTAGGATCGAAATGATTTAACTTAACGGCTTAGATGTAAAAGTTATACAAATCAACATTTTCTCTTTAACATGGTTTAGTTTGTACGAAATTGGATCGAAGTGGAAGTTACTCAGTATGAGGTGCCATCATAAGGTACTTGGATTATATCTCATACCACACATGAAAGGTATTCCGGTCATTTTACACAAACATTTTAACATGTATGATTTGTTTAATTGTTACACTCATTTACTTAGCCATTGGTATTATATGTTCAATTACGAATATTAAAAATTATACGTTCAATTACGAATATTAGAAATGTACTTTTACTTTTTTTTGCCCATAACTAAGTACGGAAAAAAAACATATTCATGTTGTGGAAGATTTCTAATGCAATGAAAAGCAAAATATGTTTTATATATACTCTATTGTCGGCACATATCCTGGAATACACCATTCACTTTAAGCTTCACCTAGAAAAACTTATACAAAGAAGTTTTTGCACAAAGAAGTGTATGTAAATTTATGATTAATCACTATATTTTGTATTACTATCAATGTTATTAATTTATCAATCGTATATTACATGGGTTTTAACCATCAAAATTGATTTTATTTTGTAATCGTGGTTCCCACGGGTTATAACCTAGTATTTTTATAAACTAAAATTTGTTTCCATCAATATATTATATGTGGACAATGACAAGAAAACCTGTTAACTTGTGTCATGTAATTATAATTCAAATCAGCAGTCTACTAATTATAGATTTCTGAAAATAAAATGTGGTAATAATAAATCATAACAAAGCACAACGTGTTGTATAAAGAATAAATGAGAATACAATTGCTATAATAAAAGGAATGGAAAGTACCTTGCTATTTTTTGCATCAAGTCCTAGAAATAAAAAAGAAAAGGTAATAGAGTCATCAGAGGGAAAATCAACCTTCTGTCACTTATAGTAGCAACAACATCTTCATAATAGGTTGTTTGCATGTATGCCATTATTCTTCGTTATCACTAATTAAAGCAAATGAAAAGGGGTAGAATTTGTAGCCATCTCCTTGGTAGAATTTGTTTTGGAATTCAACCCAATGAAGTCTCAAGGCATGCAGGAAAGCACTGAGGGTTTCCATTACTAGCAACACACCCACAGTTGCAAAAATAAATACGATAATACCAATTATAAATATCGTCACACTGTTGTATCTGTAGTCAGAGAATATTATTATATTAGTTGAGACATTAATTAATTGGTATGATCGAGTTGAAAGAACTATTGTTTAGATCATGAGGGCAATATGGTAACTTACCCCCAGGAAAGAACTAGAACCTTCTCATAAAATACACTCGAAAGCTCCGAATGTGCTAGACTGAAAATAAATAAGATTAAAAATTAATTACGATTCAGTTGTAGAAACTAGAAACAATGACAGTATACCATAGATATATGAAAGGTAAATTATAATGTTGTTCTGATCCATCTTTTTTTTTTTTTTTTTTCATTTTAATCAATTTTATAAACATTTTTAAACTTCGAAGAAGTTTGTAAGTCACCTTAGAGCCCATAGACGAAGGTAGGAAGCAGTGTTGGATACTGAACCAAGAACAAACTCAATTGTATGTATTAGTTGATGCACCAAAATTTCACTAAATTCAAACTCCTCACGTCGCCCATTATTCCTCTCTTGTTCAAGATTTTCATCATAGCTGTGAAGTGGTTGGTAGGCCCCACCTCGGTGTCTCTAATAAATTAATAATGTAACAGTACACTAATTATTTTAAAGAAAATAAATTAATAAGAAAATATCAATTTAGACCATCTCCAACTCATCTCCATTTTTTCCCCCATAAATGGAGTAAATAGTGTTTCTTCTCCAACCCTACTCCATTTTCTACCCCATTTTTTATCCCAAAAAGTATATTCCTAGAATATTCCATTTTTATAACTTATATATATATATATATATTGTCAAATACATCCCTCTACTAATTAAACTCTATATTTATGATTAATTAATATAAATTAGTATATAACATAATATTATAAATATTAATTATTGCATTTAAATTATAATTAGTAGATAAAATAAACTAAAAATGTATAAAATAAAAATAAGAGGGACTAAAATTGGCAACCAAACTTCACCTCCATTTTTGGAGATATGCATAAGTATTCCCCCATATATGGGGGATACTATTCATATCTCCAAAAATGGAGATGAAAATGGGATAGGGTTGGAGAAGAATGGGGGAAGAAATGGAGTTTGGGGGTGGGTTGGAGATGCCCTTACTTCTTCATGTTGTTTCTTCAAAAGAAATGGCTTTGGAATCAGCATCCATGGTACAGCAACAAGTGCCATAAATAGCAGCAGTAACTGACACAAGAGGAAACAATTACAATTCATTTTAGAGTAAAACTAGGGTGATATGGTCGTAATCAATAAATTTTCTATTAGGCAGGGACCATTTTTGAAATCTTTTTAAAACATATTGACCGTTTCTGTTAAGAAAATCTGCACAGGGACCTTTTCTGTAAATTACAGGGAGAGTTTTTGTAATTTATTTTCTACATAGGGACCAAACCTGCCAACATACAAAAGTCTTAAACACATTGACCGTTTCTATAAAAAGAAAATCCGCACATGTCGATGGTTAAATATGTAATTAAATTAGTGAGTTTTTATGTCCGAGTAAATGAAACCTGGAAATATTTCTGGCCGAAAAAAAGCTCATTATCTTCTAAATCGTCCATGGGACTGAGGAACATGTATATCATTACATGGTATAAATCAGCTTGTGAACCCGTGCACCATTTCAAAATAATTAATAGAGAAAGGTAGCCAAATAAACTGTTGAGAAATATCATTTGGGGGACAAACTGGTACCTGAAAAAAGACATAACATAATAGATTGTACTGTGTTTGTGTTTGGATTGAGACTGATGTAAGTTGGATAAAAAGTACAGTTTATATTTTTTACCAGGTGTCGATATCGTTTCGAAAAAACTTTGCGTTAAAATAACTTAAAATGATTCCAAGGTTCATTTGAGCGACTCCGAGTAAGATTGACATTTTCATTTTGAGGGAGTTGAGAAATGGTAATTCACTTCGGGTTCCATGCCAAACAGGATCCACACCAAATGGGTAAGTATCTCGTACCTTGATCAATCCTATAGTAGTCGCATCTCTACAATAAAGTTTTGGGTTTATGTTAAAATCAGGGAAGGAATAGAATGATTCATTGCTCTAGAATTATAAAAATAAAAGATTGTTTGTTTAATTATGTTTTGCCTAATGGAATGGACCATTCTTGAAAGAATGAGACTTCCTTTTATTTTGTTTATTTCCATTCCTTAGCCACGGTATTCTTTTTACATTGGATCATGGGATGAAATGGAATGAAAAGTTGCAACAAAGCCCAATTTTATTTATATGATTTTTAATGAAGCAAATCTTTTTAACAAGTTTTTTATTATGTTAATCAAACTACAATAATATTATGTAAAATATATGAAACTATTTTTTTTATTATAACTTATTTGGGTTTTAATGAGCTTTTAGGGTGGTAATTTTTTTTTGTTCATTAACTACTATAAACTAATAAAAAAAATTGAGCTTCTTGCAATCTAGTGTTTGGTGAGACCACTAAAATAGCTTATAAGCTAACTTTTTAAAAAGATATTTCAGATAGTTTGTTGATAACCTCAAGGGGTTTTCCTACAAGTTTTACAAATATGCTGTTATATGTTAGTTTTTAATTATATATGTAAATGTCCTTTTATTTCATTTTACATTTGGAAAAAAACTGGCGTTTTAGCTAAAAGCTAGCTTTTCAACTGGTCTGTCGAAGCACAAACCTGCAGGAAGGATCACGGCAGGCATACGCGGATTGCCCAAATAACTCATACGGGACAGAAAAGAACTCGTTATATATAAATCCCGTGTAAATCGAGAAAATTGACATCATTATAATAACATAACGACCACCAAATGCCATTTCCATGATATCTCCTAGTTTCTGTTACCCATAAAATAAAACAAAATTCAATGACCTTACATAAACAACTAGTATATTCATAAAGTGAGGAAGGTAGTTTTTTCTTTTTTTATTAAATTAGCATAGAAAAGCAAGAACAAAAATACCTGACTGGAGTATGTTTTTTCTCTTAGAATAAGATACATTGTTGCAAGAAATAAGCATATACCATGGCCCCAATCTCCAAACATGACAGCAAACAGGAATGGAAAAGTAACAACTGTGTATACACCAGGATTTGCTTCTTGGTACTTTGCCACCCTAAAAACAGTAAATAACTTCATGACTTATTAAATGACTTAATGGAGTCATAGATAAATATATGGAATGTGGATCTTTCTTTCCGAATCCTTTTTCGAGCTTTTTCGTTGAATATATTACATCTTATGTTATCAATGTTATATTTCAAGATTTTTTGTTCTCAATTTTTCTACTAATATACTGAAAACTGTTTATTGGTTGTTTAAAGGGTAAAGTGGTAATTTACTCACATTCAAGACAATTTATTTGATCCAAAAAGGAAACACTCTTTATGTATATAGCACTTACTCTAGAGAAACATCATAATCTAATCAGTATTTTATCCATCCCTACTAGTCAAGGATGTAGGTTTTTTTATTTCCTTTATTAATATGAGTCTTTTCCCTTTTTCTGTATTACGAATATAATAATGTTGTGTTGTTGTAACATTGTTTTCACACACTAAACAAACTTACAATAGTGTAGAAAAGAAAGCAAAAGCTTACCCATAAGCATTTACGATCTCTTGAAATGAATTAGTAAATTTATTTGTGCGCAAATACGTTGGGGGTGATTCCTTAGAAGTCAGAATCTCAAATATGGCGCCTATTTGTGAGTTACTATCCACAGTTGCTTTCATCAATGCCTTCTGGATCTAAAATAAAAAAATAAAGATTGAAAGCATTTAATATCATTAAATCATATCATATATATTAATGACAAACTCTTCATGGAGATTGTTTACATAATATACCTGACTTGTAGCAAAAACAGGACACCACCCTTCAGCCACAAGACACTTTTTGGTCACATCAAAACAAAGCATATTCAAAGTGTAGTAAATTGATTTCTCTTTCTTGACCTTGCATTAAGTAAAACCACAAGTTTTGGAAAAAGTATTAGTGATTAAACAAAATACTACAAGATTACAGTTAAATTAGTTGACATATATACGTTGCTATTTCTTGGATTTAACCCCAAATTTAGACTGATGAAACATACCAGATTGTTCCACTGTTCATATTGATGACTAATAGCATGTACCACGTGTCTCCAGTGATGTTTTCCAACATCAATAGTGGTTTTTAGCTCCGAAAGTTTCCCAGTTACCTATATAGAAATTTAAATCAACAATTTTATCTCTGTTTTCCTCAAACATATATAAATAAATAAATTTAATCAATTACATTAAATCCATAACCAAAATGAGCATATACCTCTGTAACCATCTGCTGTTGTTTTCCTATGTCATCAGTAAACGGATAACGATTTGCACCAAATGCATCACATATTTTCAACACCTTGTTCTTAGCCCTTTCTCCAGAATGGAATACAATGAACACATTTTTCTCCACCTTTCAAAAGTGAAAACAAAACATTTTTCAAATCCCAATTTACTTTTTTTTTTAAATGAATTTGAGTGTAACCTTTTGTTCAGAAACAGGATCAATAACAGGCTGTTCAATGGAATATTGCTTTAAGAAGACATTGCCTCTTGTTGCACGAAACAAGATCCTTTCAAAAGCCATTGATTTATCTCTTTGGATAAGACCACTCACATACCCCAGCTTCACTTGCTTTGAAAGATCTGTTATTTCCTTAAAGAAAGAAAAAAAAAGCGAGTGTAATCACAAAGTGGGATTGGAATGGAATTGAATTCCGATTCCAGTGAGAAGTTAATAGTAAATGAGTACTTGTTCTAATAACAGAGGGCTATCGAGTGATCTTTCTACACGTCTATGTTCATGTTCTCTCTGCTGAGCTGTAGCACTCCTTTGAGCAGAATTAAAAACCTCACCAGCCTGAAACAGAAAGGAAGAATATTCCCTGATTTTATAAACTTGAAAACATATACATATCTGGAGGAATGGAAAGAGTAATTACATTCCATTCTTACCTTCTTCAAGACAAGTTTATATTCTAGAAGTTCGTTATGAGCACGTTGTAGCTTTTCAGAGTTTGCATTCATTTCTATGAGCTCGAGTTCTTGTTCTCCAAGTTTGACCTAAGAGTTGACACTTAAATAAGTTATGATATGATAATAAGTTAACAAGTAAATGCATGTTAATTAGGATTGTTTTACTTCGAGCTCATCTAGACTGATTTCTGAGACGTGTGTTGACTTTGTTGAGGGGATAAAACCGGCTTTACACATTTGATCCTTGAAAAAGCGTAGCTTGCGTGCCATCTCCTCACACCTTTTAATCTACATGGAATTTATTAAATGTAACAGATTATGCATGGAAAAAGATTTATCTAAAAATCAATATTAGGAAAAGAAATGAGTATATATTTCATATATACAAATATATACATTTAATCTTAATCTTAATTTTGTTTTAAACTTAACATATGACAATCGTTTGGATATTATATTATTAGGTGTAAAACTCGTATATTACACGGGTTGATTAAAAAAGATTATATATCAAAGTGTAAACAATAAATATTTATTAAAATAAAATTTTGAAATAAAGAATGAAAAACATATTAATTGTAATTTATTATCACATTTATTACATTTAATACTTTACATATAGAAGTATAAGTATTATGTGATTTTAATTTTAAAATTTGAAAAAATCTAAAATTGACATGTGGATATTGTATTATTTTTAAAATATCACAAAATGACAAGTGTCAAAATTTATGAGAGATGAACTGCGCAAGTTCGATTTCCTTTCTGTTCGCTTTTTAAATTAACTACAAAAGTTTTTACTTGTCTTCTTAATAGACGTTTCTTCCAATCTTCCGCCACCTCGTTTCAAAATATCATAAAATACTTTTTTCCCCACAAATCCAATATATATATATATATATATATATATATATATATATATATATATATATATATATATATATATATATATATATATATATATATATATATATAATACTAATAAGGTTATCATATTTAATTAACGAAAAATTGTAGCAGAAGTTGTAAGTTTTTAAGAAATAGTCTTATGTTAAGTGCATGTCAATATTTTAAAAAAATATCGTTCATATTTCTAAGTCTACAATTAAAAGTTTAAAGTTCATATTTCATTGTAATATTTGTCAAAAGAACACTGTAAGAAAAATTATTTATTTTAATCTAAAAAGTTTAGTCTTTTTAAATGCAAAAACAAAACTGTGCGTTTTTCAAAACGATTTGGTTCAACTGTTTTTTCGTTTTGAATTGTCAAGCTAACAGTTGTACTGGTTTTAATACATGATTGTTGACTTTTTTTTTTTTGGTCTTGGCTTCAAATTGACTTGGACCTAAGAGTCTGTGACATGAGCTGCGAAGGGTTGGTTGTAGGCTTGCACAAAAAAACCGGTTTACGATCCGAACCGGTGGCCGAACCGAAAACCGGTTCACCCTTGAACCGGTCCACTGTTGAACCGATCCGATGTCGAACCGAACCGCCGGTTTGTAGTAATTAGGACTTCTAGCCATTCGAACCGGTTTTGAACCGGTTTATGCTGAACCGATCTAGAAAACCGGTTTTGAACTGATTTTGAACCGGTCTAGAGAACCGGTCTTGAACCGGTCTTACAAACTAACGATGCATATATTAGCCATGATATCCTAAGAAACAAAACAAACATTGTAAAAAAGAAGCAATTCCGTCCGATTTTTTTTGAAATGGTTCACCGAACCGGTTTTGAACCGGTTTAGGAACCGGTTTTGAACCGGTTTATGGTGAACCGATTTGAGGTGAACCGGTTTGTACTGAACCGAACCGGTTTGTATAGGTTCGAATTATTTTGGTGGTGAACCGGTTTGAAACCGAACCGGTTTAGGGGTGAACCGGTTTTTGACTTCGTTGACCAGAACCGAATCGGTTTTTTGAACCGGTCCGGTTAAAAAAAAAACCGGTTTGTGCATGCCTAGTTGGTTGTGGGGCTGTCTATTGGGCCCATGGGCCCAAATATGTTGTTATATAAATTGAAGATACGCCAGCCCAGCTAATATAGCGGCTATTTGGATTCAAGGCCTTTCTTGAGAATGTAGAGCTGTAAACGAATTGAACGTTAACGAACTGTTCATGAACCGTTCGGCGGGAAGTTCGTTTATGTTCATTTATTTAATAAATGAACGAACATGAACATAAATTCTCGTTCGTTTAGTTAAACGAACAAACATGAACAATGGTTTCATTCGTTTAATTATGTTCGTGAACGTTCGTTAATATTGTTCGCTTATGTTCGTTTATGTTCATTCATTTAAGTTCCTTTTATGTACATATTTGTTCAATTGTGTTTGATTACATTACTATATTATATGTTCGTTTATGTTCATATATGTTAGTTATGTTTATTTATCTATGTTCGTTTATGTTTATGTATGTTAGTTATGTTTATTTATCTACGTTCATTTATGTTCGTTTAGCCAGTTCACGAACATAAACGAACGAACATGAACAATGTAAAATTTTAAACGAACGAACATGAACACGAAAATTTGTTTGTTTATTCGTTCGTGTTCGTTCATTTGTTTGGCTAACTTAAACAAACGAACATGAACATACCCTTGTTCGTGTTCGTTCGGTTCCTTTACAGTCCTAATCAGCAGGAAGTGAATTCTTGATTTTACCGTAGATCCATAGTTTGACAAGCGAATCAAACTTATTCCAAGGTTCAATTGGATCTTCATGGGAAGTCAAAAGATGATCCGTGACTTTGAAAGTGAAAGTGAGACGGTGAATCTTAAAAGCGAACATGGATGCAAAACATGGTGGTTAGGGTTTTGCTAGGGTTTGGCCCCAAAGATTAGGTTAGATTTTATTTTTATTGAAAAAAAAAACAAGACACATCTAAATTTATAACTTTATCTACAAATAGAAATCAATATTGGTATATTTTCTTTCAAGATTCTATTATAGTTCTAAAAAATAAGAAATAATGAAAATAATAGAAGTTCAATTTGTTTTGGATTGAACCTATTTTTTATAATCTTAAAAATATAAATGTTAATTATGGATCATAACTTATTTAATAAAAGGTGGAGTTTCTAATAGAATAACAATAATCAAGTAACAAAATTGAATTGATTGGGTTGCTAACAAAGTAGCAATAACATGTAAGAAAAATTGACTTGGTTGACTTTTTTGGGATCTGAAATTAATGGCAAAAATATGACTTCAAATAGGTTTATTTGTTTCCTAATTTGAGAAATCTCCTGTCTTATCTTTAAGGCTATGGTTTTAGGATAATTGTTTTTTATGTTATCATAAATATTAAATAGAGTCTAACCCCCATCAAAATGATATATAGAAGAAAGAGAAATTAAATATCATCCTACTAGGTGTTCCTACAAATCCTCTTACCAAATTAAATTGTGACATATATAACATTGCTCATTTAATAAAATTTAATGATATTTTAGTATACTAATGTGACACATGTCATTATTTAAATAGGTACGGAAATTTGTGGAAACAAAAAGTAGAAGGATATTTAATTTCTCTAGAAGAAAAGATAGAGAGCATTCTTTGATGTAAGGGATATATATATATATATATATATATATATATATATATATATATATATATATATATATATATATATATATATATATATTAGCATAACAGCATACAAATATTGACGATGTCTAGTTTGATTATAAGCTTGATGACATCATCATTGAATGTGCCAAAATGATTTCAATGTCTTCAAATTCGAGGGAATACAAAGAGTTTATGAGAAACATGGTTGTTCAGGGGCTCAAAACGGCGTTGTTTTGTTGTTTTGTTGATTTTATGAATCTTTTTTTATTTATGGCTAGTTTCGATAAATGATTAGAGAGCTTACCGTAATCAATTTCCATTTACTAGCATTATGCAAAAAAGTTTTATCTTTTTCTTCTACAGATATTATTTTACTTTGTTTTTGGACCATTTTGAAGTTTAATAATAAAGGTCCATTTGAGTTATCTTTTTGTTCTTTGTGTTTGTATTGGTTGTTATCGACCATTCATTTCTTTCATTATCTGGGCATCATTCTTTCTGCTTACATTGCTCACATGGTATCAGATCATAGGAATGCATTCCACATCCTATTAAGTCACAACGAAACAACAACAGAAGTCACCAAAAGCATGACACCAAACAAGCCAGCCAACTCTTTCTTTTAATTCTCATTTGAGGAATTCAATGAAAATATTTTTTTGGAATATGCTCAATTGATTATATTGGTCATTGATGGAAAGGGGAAATTGGGCTCATACTTATCTAGTTTGTGGATCGCTTCGATATGAGAATGAGGAACGGGTATGGGGTTCACTAGATTGGATGTATCGGGTATGAAGAGGGGTAGACTCATTTCAGTACGAACCGGTACGGTGTACCATGAAGTCCGGTACAATGTACCCAAATGTAAACCATTTTTTAGAAACGTATTACTATATATATACATGTATGATAAAACATGAACATTATACCAAAATACCAAATACCAAAAACATAAATTATAAAACCTTTTAAGTCTTAAGTACCAAAAGATTAAATATTTTAGCATAATCTGTTACGGGAACAATACCAAATCGCCCGGCCGCTTTGCAATTAATTGTGTTGTTTGTTACAACTTGTAACACATTGCTTGGTCTAATGCTATCGATGGCTCCAAGAAGAAACTTAGACATCGTAGCCCTCATTTTTTACACTCCAAAAAAATCATCCAAGTACATAAACACATGAATTAACCGCAAGAACATTGATGAGTAGACTATGTTTAACATTAGACCGCCAATTCGAGACGAGTGAGACTGTATGTACCACGTTGAAAGATCTTTATGCCCGAGAGTCATTATAAAATGATATTTGCTAATGACATATGGTCCTATAGGATCACCTTTTATAGCAAGTTACTACTAATTTGATTATTTATTAATATAATTTGATTATTAATAAATATAATCCATAGTTACCTAATTCGTTGATAAGGCCGCGTACCTCGTACCAGATCGTTGTGTACCGAATCGGGGTATGAATTCGTACCAAGTCGCTCTGGGAACGAGAGTCGAATCGGAATTTCAGCGTACCAAATCGATGATTGGCAATGGGCCGATAGATTTTCAATTCGTGTGTGGGACGATGAATTTTGTGTACCCCTTCAATTGGAATCGCGATTGGGACGCCATGTCAGTGTCGACTTTCACTTTGGCGGGAATTAATGAGACGCTTAGAAAAAGTGGTACGTCTCCTCGATCTCTAACTAATT